GATGTTTTCATTTTGAAATAGATACAATAATTTACCTACTTTGACATTAATTTGTGCAACTAAACTGATATTTAACAAATTTGAAATAAAAATGTATCCTTCCATCACATAAAACTTGTAAAAAAGTCATCAGAACTTAATATTGGCTGTTATGATAGGCAATAGGCACTTTAGTAGTAAAGACATTCATTTAACTTCAAATCATTATTTTAGTTAATCTCTTTTTTAAGAATATTTTCACTGTTAATCATCTGCTGAGAGAAGCATGTACATAAGGGGAGATTATTTTTTATTTCAATTTTTTTCTTTAATAGTTTGGGTGTTTAAATTTTGTTGACAAATGTCTTAGCATTAACATTAGTGTATATTTGAAAGATGTGCTTTCTATGCATAATTCATTAGAAATACATTTGTTACTGAAATAAATAATATCTTTAATGGTTTCATTTTTTAATAATAAATGTACCATTTCTTCAAAAGAGAAAAAATATTTATTAATTTTTAAATCTAGGACACAGTAATAGTTCTTTTACTTAGTAAGTGAAAATATAAATAAAAAATGAATGAAACTTCCAAAAATAGTTGTATTATTATTTATAATTTACCCTGATAGGTTTTAGAACTTTAATATAAAGCCTGTTGCAAATGTAAAATTTGACAAAGATCATACTTCCTAGGATATTAGAAAAGTAATATGTTTTTCTATCCCTCAGATTTTGGTTTCTAATCTCTAAATATTATATAAATGGATAGAATAATCTTTTAAAATTTAAAGTAAAATATAACTGTGTATGATCATTGAATTTTTTTTCCATTCCTTCATTTGATAGTTTTTGCCTAACTAAATTACTAAATGAAATTACTGTTAAATTGTATTTGAAAAATCCAGGATTCTGGCAAACATTCCTAAACTATTTTTGGCTCCATACACAGAAATATGAAGATAAAATGGAGAAATGCTTATCATTGCCTCTGACGCAGACTGGGTTCTTTAATGTAGAGATTTAACACTGTTGTGAAATGGGATATCAGTACTTTATTTCCAACTTGTTCATGTTTGCTTAAACATATCCTGCCTATCAAGGAACCCCATATAATTGACATATACATTACAAAACAATTTCTGCTTTACAGTTTTAACAAAAAACATAATTTCAGAAGTAGCAATCAAATCTTTGTATGTTAAAGATTAATATACCACATCAATTTATAATCAGATATTGAATATGAATGGATTTCTTTTAATCAATGGAATTTTGAATATGAAATGGTTAGTTCAGATCACATGAATTAAATTGCAAGGCATATAGCCTGTTAATTAAAAAATAAGCTGGTTTTATAATTTTGAAAGCTGGATCATTTATAAAGTCACTATGTATAAATTTTTCAGAGGCCTCTCAATCTTGATATTTCAAAACATTTCTTCCTTTATCTGATATTTACTTATAAATATAATAGTCTCCCTTTAAAAAGAGAAACATAGACTTTTGACAGAATAGTGACTAATAGGCATAGAAAAGTAGACTTTAAAATCTTGAAAAAATGTGAAATGGATTTGAATCAATAAGTTACTAACTAAAACCTTCAACTGAACAAGTTTTATAAGGAAGTAAGAATAAACACATATGAATTTGTGTGAGCACAAATCTTTTAAAGCATATTTCCCTTTCTTTTTAACTCTCAGTTGAGTAGTGGTTCCTTTCATTAGTTATCACAATTTTTCAGTCACTATGAAATTGATGACATTTGAGTTCTTCATCTCATATTTCTCTTCCATTTTTTAATATTTTGCATACTTAGCAAATGTGTGGTAAGAGTAGAGGATAATTTAATCAAGAGATATTGGGAAATTGATTCTCATAAATACCACCCTTTATAGACTAATGGATGCTTTAAGAGCAAGGTGTGCTAGAAAGAAAAATAAGGTGATCTCTTAAAGTTATGCCTTTTTTTTCCATTATATTGATAGATTATGTATTACCCCTTGCTTATTCCTGTTACTTGGGGAAAATATTTCTATTGAAATAGAATGTGTTCTATGAAGCTTGTCATATTCTTTAAAAGTAAACATCAAATTTCTGTCTTCAATTTAATAAGGAAAAACTAAAATTTCTTGTTTACTTTATTTCTATCTTATTATTAAAAGACATATGACTATAAAACACTATAAAAGACATATGACCAATGAATTTAAAATAAGTCAACATTTAAGCAGAATAAAGAAAAAACAAAATACATTTTTAAAGCATTACATAGAGAGTGAATTCAATAGCAGGATAATAAATTTCCCAGCTTAGAAATCTGAATACCTTATACATAACAAAAGTATCTACTCTATACCTAGTTTCTATTGAATAGAAACTATAATATCATCAATTAAATGCCAAAAATACATAATTTTAGTGGTAAAAAAAATGTTTCAGCATTGGTCCTTAACAAATGGACAAAGTTGTCTTTTCCCTACCTCCCCTTTCTTTTCTTTCTTCTGCCTTTACTAGCATTTATTTTTCCCTGACCCATCTCTACAAAGTAGCCCTCCTGCAGTTTGCCCATTCAGGACAAAAGCCTGCTTTTTGTCAGGTACTGTTTTGAACAACGTTTCCCTACTGAGCATTAAATCAGTGTTTCTTAAATATGTACTAAAGTTTTCCATCGCCGAAAAGTTAATTCCACATTAATAATCCTTGAAGAATTAAATCAGATACAACCTCTACATCAGCACAATATTTCAAGGTGGTAAGGGAGTACTATTGCTGGATTTGTCCTCACTTAATAACTTTCTTAATGATGTGGATGAGTGAACAAATATTATGCAAAGAAAATTCATAGGTATTAAATATGTAGATTCTTCAGAAACAAACAGGCTGGAAGGTGATGCCTGCAAAATGACCTAGAGAAGTTTAAAAAAGAAATAGTGGTCCAATATTATTCTACTTTTTAATAAATGAGATCATTTAACTGATAAAAATAATCAGTAAAGAAAAATTCAGCAATGATTGTTGTACCACAAGGTGAAGAAAGAGGGGAAATTGTATGTTGCATAGTGCATTAAAACATAAAATAGTTCCTGAAAATTTCTGAAGCATTGTGCTTTAATTCATGAATAAACCAAAGCAAACCAAAAGTCGTTGTTCATTTGTTCCTGAGAAGATAAATTATTTATGTGGAAAAGTATATATAAAATCACATAAATGAGTAATGTTCTCATGTGAAGATATTCACAACATCCAAACGACTTGAGATTTTGTGAACTCTGTATCTTAATTAATTTTGATCAATATTTGATAATCATGATTTAGTTTGTAATAAATCATAATCCAATGCTAAGAAAGGGAAACCATTTGCTTTAAGTTTCATCTCAGTTTTACCCTCTGTTCACAAGTTATAGGCTGAAATTCATTCTCCATGTTTGTAAGTTATTTTGAAACATTTTCAGATGAAATTCATGTAAACATTTTATTTCTAATTTTTGGAAAAATTTTAATCTACTACAGGTCAGGTCCAAAGCTTAATTCCCTTTATGAAATGATGTGAATAAGTATTTCTATTTTCTTGCTATATTAAAAAAAAACCAGAATTTCTATCTATAGCCAAATCTAAATCTATATCTATATCACTTATATATATGTATACATGATATCTGTAGAAGAGCTTGAACTTCAAGAATAAACATATGAGAAACTTTTTTTCACATAATATTCATGACACTTCTACTTTCATCATGACTCGAGTTAATAAGATTTTATTGTCTTTTGTTAGATTTTACCTGTAAAAGGAAATACATCATGTACAATATTATAAAATAGGAATAAAACTAAATATAGTGTTTTAGAAATTTTAAAAAATGGTTGTATTTTATGTTTAGTAACATTTAATGAAATCTACTTCCTCTAGGATTTTTCTCACAATCTATCTTGAATGGAATCTGCAGAGATTTTGATGAGTTTGCTACTAGATTTTGCAATGTATTCCAGTCATATATTTATCTGAGGCCACTGTTTTCTATATTCTAGGTTTCTGTAAAAATTGTGGAGACATTTAAAAATGATGACACTTTCCTAACTTTTCCTGCCTCCCTAAATTATCACACAAATCCTGATTATTTCCTAGTTATAATGCACTATAGAATTCACTCTCAATATTCAGTTTATTTGTTACCAATTATATGACTGACATAATTAGGAGTCTAAAAATTCTTGGTTATAATATTTATTTTTAATAATTTTATTTAAAATGCATTGATAAAGCAAATAATTAAAGTACTACCAAAGAAACTGTCTTTTAATAGTTTATAAAAAAGTTCTATAAATTTTAGCTGTCCTTGATTTCTCACCATTGTAGTTCATCAATTTTGTGATTAATCATTAAACATTTTTTTCTCTATATTAAAAATATTAGCAATTATTAAACCCACATTTAATATTCCATGCATTATTTTAATTTGATGCTTCATTCTCTTTTAATGATATGCACAGATAATAATGAAGAAACATGCAGCATTTGTGTCACATTTATTTTTACGTACATTAGAACCCCATCAGTCTTGGTTCTAGTATTACTCATCCTCATAATGATTTCTGAAGGAAATACCAACTAACTCTAGGCATGGTTATTTAGAACAAACATTTTCTTAACCCTTTTTCAAATTTAATGGAGCAATAAATAGCTTTGGCAAAATTTTCTGATTTACTATTCATTTAACTCAGCAGGTTTCTTGAAATTTTAAGGCATCATGCTATGTAGATGTATTTAATTTATGTAGCTACTTTTTCCTCCTGTGCAAAGGTTGACATTGCCACAGGCTACTTTCCTATCTCTCCTAACCATTCCCCGTACTGTGCAGGATACCAGATGTAAGTTGTGAGTGCCTGCTAACTTGGAGAATACCTCCCCATGTTTACAATATTACATTAAGAGAGATCAATACAGAGAAAGGTCATCAGAGTAATATTTAACCTATATACCCCTCTCAAAAAACTGTATGCGCTGTTTTTACTTACCTTCTATGCTACCTGGCATGACCAAGAGCCATTGAACACTTCCTCTAGACAGGAGATGACCTGTCAGGTATATTGCCTGAGCTCTAGGAAGTTATCATATAATCTATGTTTTATTGCCCTCTCTCACCTTATCAAATTACCCACCAATAGTTTTGGTAAAGTTGCTCAACTTGTATGAACCAAATGTTTGCATCTCATATGTTGAAACCCTAATCCCCATTATGATGGTATTTGCAGTCTTGGGAGGTAATTAGGTCATGAGGATAGAACCTTTGTGATGAAATTAGTGCCTTCATGAGAAGAGACACAGGAGAGCTAGTGCCTTCTCCTTCCCCCTCTCTCCCTCATCCCTTTCCCTCCATATGGGGATGTAACGAGAAAGAGAGCTCTCACCTGGAACCATCTGGACTGCTGAGCCTCCAGAACTGTACAAAATAAATTTCTGTGGTTTAAGCCACTCAGTCCATGTTTTTATTCATTGTTGTTTTGTTTTTTCCTTTTTTGCTATAGCAGCTTGAATTACGACACAACTTTTCCTAAAACTTTAAAATGTCAGATTCGCAGACAAAATTCTATTCTATTGAGGTTTCCATCAAGTGTTATATCTCTGACTCTAAACTCATAGCAACCATTGTATGACATGGTGAAATCTTACCACTAGCATTTTGTACATTATTAGTATCTACCCACTCTAACTTGAATAAAAAAGTTGAATTTCGGTAAAAAACAATATTTGTCATCTGGTAATTAAAAGACCAATTAAACATATAGGGTATCTTTCAACCATGCCTGACCATAATCCCATCAATCTTTATGATTCAGTTCAGAATCCCTTCTTTCATGGCTTCTTTGGCCCTAAGCATTCTTTATCTCTGCCATAGTTCCAGGTACCACAGAATCACTTTGTATATGTCTACATATAGGACTAGCTAGAACAACAGTTTTTCATTTGTTTGTTTTGCTGTCCTCCAAATTAAATTTGGGATCAGTTGCTGATAGTATTCATATATGTTTGTTTCTGCATATTAAAGACAAGTTAGATTCTAATTAATGTTAGATATTTAACATTTCATAATTGTATAAATAATCATGTGATACTCAGTAAATTTTAAAGGGCTTCAGTTTTAATGCTTTGAATTCTAAGAGAAGGAATTTAAAAAGAGAGAAAATAAGTTAGTTGTAGGTGCTAATGCATGGAAAATGAATTATTAAATCTGAAAGATTGAATATAATGTCAAGCATATGACTTTTCAAAGCAATTAAACTGGGCTTTTAATGATATTACTTAGATTTTTCCAGACAAAATGTGTAACAACTCAGCTAATTCTTATAAAATGACTTTGAAATCCCCAAACCCAAATATAATCCCATGGAGTAATTATTTGTGAAAAAGCATTAGTATGTTTTATACCTTAATTATGAAAAATAGTGGAAGAGAGAGGAGAAAAATAATCTTTATTGTGAGTTAAACAGTTTGAAATCGTTTTATTGTTTCAAGAAATTTTCCCCCAGGACAACTTCAGTAGCAAAATCAAAGTCAGGAGCCTAGGTTCCCATAAACAAAGTTTAATTGTATCTTCCTCCCTTTGTCTTCTCTGTTTATTAATTTTCTCACTTGTTTCTAAGAAGTGAGAACTATACCCCAGGGAGAGTAGAGGTCCATAGTGCTATTCTAAGTTCTGAAGCAGAGGACCTAATGATAATTATTGTCTTTTTGAAAATGTGAGGTGAAAGTTGTCCATGAAACTGTCCTATATTGGGGTATCCATGGAAAACTATGCCCATTCTGTTGGGTCTTCTGAACCTTGCTATTACCATTTTTGTTTGAGTTGGAAGTTCTGTCATCTACATGTAGTGTGGGGCTATTGGAAACATCCTTCTTTGAGTTTCATTCCATGGCAGAGAACAGTTCCTTTTTCTTTTTTTTTTAAAGCTATTGATGTGTCTGTTTTCATATGGTTAGTGACAATACGACAGCCCTCAAATTTTGCAAGTTACATGGCTTTCAAAAGTTGTCCAAATATTTTTTATTAAATTAACTCATTATTTCTAAGAATTTATTTCTAATGAAAAAAATCATTACTAAATAATAAATGATTTTAGATTTACACCATGCAAGAAATGACAAATTTACATGTTTAGGCTGCATTGCATATAATCTACAGAATGACTGCTCAGCTTCAGTTTCTTGCATATATTTATCATACACATAAACACGAATATCCACACTTCCCTATCTCTGGGTCCCTGGTAGAAGGCAATGGCTAGTGACTTTATATTTACCTATCAAAGAAAATGAATCTGGACATGCTTTAGGGAACATAGAACACGGTGGGACATTACTAGATAATAGGAGCCAGTATCTTATTTCGTAAGTACTAGAATTCCCAAGTTTAATATAGCTTTGCCTATATTTTACACTGTTCTTGGTTTTGTTTTGATAATTAATAATATAAAGGTGATCCCAAGACAGAAGAAAAAGATAACATTATACAGTGAGAAGTGAGTCTGCTATCTCAAGACTGTCATTTTTTTCTCAGATGAAGTCTAGATTTTTGTCACCAGTAAAAGGGAACAGAGATTTTACAGAAAAATTGCCAATTTGGGGCCAACCAGGTGAGGGCAATACTCTTAAGTATAAATAGATGAAAGGATACAACATTTTTTGAGTAGGACACATCCATGCAAGACTGAACTTCTTACATATTGATTTTTACAGTAAAGAGAAAAATACTTATTTTAAGTAAGTTACTGCATTTTAGCGTATCTTTTTTAGAACAACTTACATGTGTCTCAAAACGCTCAACTTCAGAGAACACTATTTTCATACTATTCATTCTCGATGGCATGTCCAAAAGTATATTCCCAGTAACAAATGACATATAACATATAGAACAGGGTAGAAACACTTAGGAAGGTGGGGGAAAAGATTATCTCTATGATTTGGACATTATATTTCAATTTTAAGAAACAATAAAAAAGAGAAGGTTTTAATTATAGAATTATAATTTATATTATTCCTGATGAAATTGTGGAATAATGATAACCATGAGAGTCTATATCGAAATAGTGAACTTTAGCCACCATACAATGTGGTAAGCATGACAAACAATGGCCAGGAGAAGAATGACAAATAGAAGAGAGAAAAAATAGAATTAAGATAGACTCAATCAATAGAAATGGATAAAATATTTTAAATTTTTCAAATGGGAACATTGACAGCATATTATCAGATATAAATAATATATTAAAAAATTATAGGTTCTATAATTTCTGTTGGATGGCGGATGGTTTTTGTATTTCTTTGTGCATGAGAACATATGTTATAAGATAAAATCTACATAGAGAGAAATGGGATTGTGAGAATAGGAAACAGAGGTGAGGAAATGGATTTTAGAAATGGTTTTACATTGTTATAAGGACCCATTACTATGTTTTCTTCATTTCTGAATAAAACATCTTATTCAAAGAATGAAGTCAATTATTTTGAGGGTATGTATTTAATTAATCCTCTCCACTCCCCAGTTTGAAGGCCATTGGTCCAAGAAACCTACAAATGCAGGAAACACTGTATTAATAGTAGGCAAGGGCAGACATGCTAATAGCAACAGAAAATATGCTATGAGCCCCTTTACATAATATAAACTCTGGATTTTGAAAAGTTGAGGCATAGGTTGATAACTCCTCACAAAACTTGTTTTTACTTCTTCTTAGCTACATAGCATTACTTTATTTCCATGCCACTTGAGTCCTAATCAATGTGCACCTCTTCCAGAGCTGGCCCGTATGAATTCATCATTGATCTTCTGGTTCTTTTCACATTTTTCAGGTGAAAATAGACAAAGCCCTATAGGAAGTTGGAGCCAGAAAATAGGAGGTCAATTTGCTGAAGTACCATGTGGAAGAAGCCACCCACTGGCCAGAAATGCCTTTATTTGAAAGTTGTTAATGAGAAACACATTTTAACCTTTCAGCCATTTTAACACTGGACAACCTTTGCTAAAGCAGCTAGTTTGTTACTCAAACTGTTAGAGGGGTCTACAAAATAACATTTCATTTCCCCTCTCTCAAATTCAGAGAGAACTGAGATATAGACCTATTTCAGTGGGGACAACAGATATCAGGAGTTTCCAGAGACATCAAGGTAAGTGACCCTTATTGTAGTTCTGAAGCACTGTTCTACTTCTAAGCACACACAAAAACATCAAGCGGGATTTCCTAGCCTGCAGGGACTAAGGATGATTAATAAGGCTATATGTTATGCATAAATGCACCGACTTATACTGTGCCCTTCAGTCAAATTGCATATTGTATAAGCATGATAAATGAAGTGCACCAGGCCTAGATAAGCTACTTCTTGGCATATATCCAGAAAAGTCTAAAAGAAAAATGGTTCAAGCTGTTTGTAAAGGTATACTTTGATTGGAATGTGGAGCTTCCTGAAGGGGTGATGGAATTCTTACCTCCTCTGAAGCTATGATCTGTGGTGGTGGTCTCCTCCATAAGGATATGGCTATCCAGCCCCTTGAAATATGTTCTAGAAAATAGCAGTCATCACTCTGCCATGAACTTGAAGGCACTTCTCTGCTCCTATAAGGTTTGGACAAAAAAGCCTTTATTTGATTTGCCCAGGTAGTGTCAGTGTATGGTCTTACCATAAATTTGAACTTACTATTGACATTCCTAAGTAGAGAGGATACCTGCAAGCAGAGATAGATTGCCTTGTTTTACGTTAGAAGCAAATAAAGTTTTTTTATTAATATAAACAACTTACGAAGTTTGATTTTGTTTGATTTGGTTTTTAATGATTTCCTAAAATACTATGATAATTAGAATGGTTGATTAAAAGTTTCTAGTATTTTTAAAAGTCATCCAAGGAAAATCATTTTGCAGAATACTACTCTAGATAATTATCTAGAATACTATCCTAGGTAATTCTAGTGAATAATCGAATGATGTGATTGTTGCTGCTTTGAGGATTTTAGAATCATGGAAATAATATGCTTTTAGGTACAGAGCTGAATAATTTTATTTTCTACTTCCTAATTTAATTTTTTATTATCTAGGTCTAAATGCATCTGTCCATTTCATAGCAGTTTGTTTTTAAATGATATGATTCTCCAATTCTTACAAGATATTTGAATTTTTTGGCTTAAATAGAAACTAGTTGACAGTGGATGCTAATTATTTTTGATATTCCAGTTTGTCTAATTTTTTTCCTTGAAATGGAATGAGTAAACTTAACACAGACACACAAACACATATATGCACACAGAGGCACACACACACACACATGCACACCCACAGCCCTCAACAACAACAACAAAAAACCACATACCAGCAGCAAATTACTAGGATTTACCATGGAATAAAAGCTTGAAATGGCACTGCATACTAACTTTCTGCACTCCTATGCAGACTTTTATGCATTTTTCAATCCATTAAATATCACCTTAGAATAAAAGCAAGCACAATGGAAACTAAATGAGATAGTTGCAGAGAACAACAAAAATAGTAATTTATGCTCCCATACAATAGCAAGCTTGTTCAGAGTTTATTTTGGGTCCTTTGGATTCTATTTAAAATCAAATTCAGTTTGTATATGCATACATGTGTAGGAGTTGGGGATAGAATTAATTATCCCAAACAGCCTACACTCACTCCCCTAATATTTCTTATGTTAACGTGCAAATCTGTTATCTTCATTGCTATGATACTACAACACAATTAGAGATCATTAACTTTCTCCTTTATACTCAGCAAATTTTTCAGGCCTCAGATATACATGAACCTCTAATTTATTCCTATTTATCTCACATTCTCATTTACCAAAGTGTCAAAACAACTTTTTATATCATTGCTATTTGTTTTAGTTTCTGCAAGTTGACTGCTAGAGGATGATTATTTCTCCTACATTGTCTCTTCCCCTCATCTTTCAAGTTTTTAAAAAAGAAAGAAAAAATAATAAAAATCAGGTACTTTGGCCTGTATTATTTATTTTATGTGCAAATAGACTTATTTATATATGCTAAAACACACTGAAGTGGGAGACAAGCTTGCTCTTAATTATGTCTTGAATTTTATAGAGGAAAAGTATATAAGACAGATCCTGAGGTATTATATTCATGTGCTTGAATGATTAAGAATATTCAATGTGCCAAGAACTGCTGCATACCAAAAATGCTTTTATGGATTAATTTACCTAAATTCAGTTAAAGTTTCTCTCAACTGAATGTGCTTGTAGATGTCAAAGTGCATATTTAAGTTTTGTAGTGATGTTAAATCTGGTGCTACAATTCTAATGTCTAATAGGTTTTAGTTTGCTTCAATTTATTTGTTTTATAGGTTGCCAGAATTTACTTATGAAAGGCACTTTCAGGCAGAAAAATAAAATTATAATCAGGCTGGCACATACCTTTTTGTAAATTATAAACTTATTTTTTAGGAATCTGTATTCTTTTAAATCTTCTGGTTATCTTTTACTTTCTCACCTATAAGAACCCAAAAACATCCATTGTAGTATATGGAAAAGCACTTAAGGGAAGTATAGCCACTTTTTATGTCCCTTGAAAAGAAAATGCTCTTTGGTCTCTCCTTTCACTCTTCCTTCTCTCCAACCTATTTTGCACAAGATAGCCAAGGTGATCCTTCACAAACACACATATGAGCATGTCCACCCATGCTTAAAAGAATGTACCCACTTGCAATTGTCACTAGCACATTATTTTGCACATAATATATACTCAAAAATATTTTCTGGAAATTGAATGACCCCAGCTTGAAGCCCAGGACACTGTACTATCTCACTTACCAGCATTCATTGACTTTTTAGCTTCATTAATGACCATCACCCAATGTCCCTAGGTGACAGGAGGTCTCTTCCATAAGATGTAGCAGGAGAAGAGATGAGATCATTGTTTTATCATTTCCCATCATGCTTCATTTGCTTGTAATGTCATTGCTCAGGCCTAGTCATGAGGCTCTGCCCAACTGCATGGGGCAGTGGGGCCAGGAGGTGGAAGTGCTGTCTGTGTGTGCCTTGAGAGGAGAAAACCCAAATATCAGGGAATACCAGTAATATGTATCATAGTGTCTGATACACAATATGGATTTCATGAAGATTTAATGGATAACAATTAGGATTCATTTGACTGTAAGATACAGACATAAAAACAGTTTGGCAAACAAGAGTAGTTAGCTAATGAGCAAAATCTCAACATAGGCAGAGGTGCTGCTACATTTTATGTGTTGTAGAAACATGGACTCTCCCAATTTACATGTTCTTTCTACTGATTTAGCATTTGTGTCCTACTCTGGATCTCAGCGTCATGTCTCAGACTGGCCTCTGCCATAGCTGTATAGATAGAGTTGTCAATTTCAATCTCACATCCTTCCATTTTCCAATGAAATCTTACTCTCTGTTTCAGGTTCAAATGTAGAAGGACATTTGCTCCCAGGTTAACTGGGAATAACTGTTCCCAGGTTAGCTTCTGGACCTATGTAGTAAGTCTTTTAAGTTGGAATAATATGATCAATGCTGTTGGAATGAAGAATGCTTCTTTGGCCCAATCATCATGTCCAGGAAGCAGAGATTAAGGACTTTGTGACCTTACTAAATCCTCATTTCCAGAGCTCCTTACCTGGAATGCTGAAGCAGTTTCTACTTGAATATGTAAATAGGCAATGGCCATATGATAAATAAAAACTGGACCCTGATCTCTGCAGTAACCAGTCCAAACCACAACCTCTGCAGTAATTGGTCCAAAATGGTTAGGAATTGGTTGAGGACTGCCAACTTCCCTAAATTTTGACCTCCAGCTTCCAATTTAGAACCAACCAGAGAAAGCTAATTATGAGCCCTAACCAATCGCATAGAATGTCTTGCTTCTAGTTAGCTCATCTTCAGATTCCCCATACCACCAATCTCTAATCAGGGCATTCCAAAAGACTTCCCTCTTTTCCATGATAAAGCTTTCCCATTCCCTGCCTGCCTCTGAGTCTTTGCCATATGGAAGTGATGGTGGCCAACTCCCTTGTTATAGTAAGCTCTGACTAAGCCTTTATTTGTTCTCATTTGGAAAGCCTTTGCTTATTTTCACAACTATTAGGGAAACTTGCAGCAACGCTTACTGAGTAGACCTAATTATGTCAAATCTTTACTTATTACCTAAATAAACATCCTTCTGGACAATGTTACCAAAGAGAGGAATTGTACCTGATTTTAGACCATAGGAGGGCTCTTCATTTTTTACTCTTAGTTACAGGTGAACAAATTAAAAAGAAAATTAAGACTCTATTTCACATCTTAAGATTTATATGTTAAATTAAATATATATATGTAAATATATATAAATATATAAATATAAATATATATATAAACATATATATATGTATATGTATTCCAGTGAAATAGAAATGGAATCTAAGGTTAATACTCTGGCATATTGCTTTGCAAGAAATGCTGCCCTTCATAGAATGCTGCCTAAATCAAATGCACTTTTACTTGTCAAAATTTCTTTCCCTTTATGGAAAATTACTTGTAAAAGAATTACAACAATGAAAATCTCATCTACTTATAGAAAGCATTACAATGTATTAAAATTATTTATCTATTAAGGCTTATATGACAGTTCCAAAATATCCAGTTGATGACTGCTAATTTCAAATAAAGAAAATTAGCAATTACACTGCATGGATATACCTAAAATAGCAAAGATAACTTAGAATCAATATTACTAAGATATCACTGGGAAGGAGAGTTTATCTAGGGAGGAATGGGGTGCTATTGGAGTTCAGAAAACAACACCCAAAAGTGAAGGCCTCAGAAGCAGCCTTAGAAGCAAAACTTTTTCTCTGACCTTCTTCTGCCCTCCTTTCTCCCAGTCCCATTCTACCTTCAGGCTAGCCATAGAAACAAGAATCTCTCTTCTCCAGGGTGGGTAATAGAAACCAGAACCCCTTTTCTCAAAGCCAATGATAAAACCTAAAAATACTAACCTAAAAATATTGTGTAAAAACTTGCCATAAAGAAATTATCTGATCTACCTTGTTTGACTATAGGTCATAAGACCCCTATACCAGAAAGAGTCTTGCCCCATACCCCAAAGGGAAGAATATATACTCAGATATGCCAAGAAGAATCTAGAATCTAGACACACAGGCCTTGGTGGGTTTTCCCACTCAGTCTAGATCACACACTTTTTGTACAATTATAGTTCTACATAACTGTGTATACTTTGTTGGACCTTAGCATAACATTGACAATTTTCCCTGTATCTTTGTTCTTCCCTCTGCAGACTCCCTTGCGTGCATGTTAAATAAATTTGTATGCTGTTTCTCCAATTAACCTGCATTTTGAGAGTTACTTTTTCAGAGAACCTTCAGAGAGCCATACCCTGCACCACAACAGTGCCTTATCTGCAGCCTCTTATAATCACCACAGCTCTGAAAAGTCCGTAAAAGTGGGATGAAACATCCAACCAGCATCTCAGGCTCTTTGAACACTTATACATGAACATTATGAAAATGTCTTAATCCTAAGCATATTAATATGTTCTTTGGAATGTTTGTAAATGTCTTTGCTGGAACAAAGCCTAGGCATAAAATCTTATGGATGTGTTTTTCCTACTGGGTTATCCCTTCAATCCTATCATATGATGAAAAAAGACTCATTTCACAAGCAAATCCCTTTGAAGATTTTGCATGATTGTCCTTTTCTCTAAAGGGGATTGCATTTGTAAGCTGCAAAGTATAGAAAAGATAGATAAATTAAGTCATTTATTAAAAGCAAAGTTATCTGAGCTTTCAGAAGGACATCATCATCCTTGGTCTATCGAACTTCTATTAGTGTTGATGTCTATGTGCTCCCCAGCTTCCAAACCCATAGACTTTCTCTTCTGAAGTTGTTACTGAGAGACCCATGAGATTGAATCCAGTTAGTCTAGTAACAGATTCTTTTTTTTTTTTTTATGGACATGTGAGCATGTATAGTAACAGATTCTTCACTGTCATATTTAGTTTATAATATACAGCCAGAGATTGATATAACTATCTTCTAATGTGACTAGCTACATATATATTTATCTTAGAATTAAAATTCAGTGTTGAAATAATTGTCATAGGGACACTTTAAAACAGATTAAATTGAATTTATAAGTGATTCAAAATGAATTTAAAATGGATAGGGAGATATCACTTTACAGAAAATAAAACTGATTTGGTTAATTTACCATTTAGACTTCTAATCTTAATCTGAGGTCTACTAAACTCTGAGATTACAGGAAGACCTTCTGAGGGGTATTTTGGCCAGGCACAAAATTTTAATGAACAAGTTTAAGGTGTCACATTTCAATAACTCTTTCATAATTTTTGTTGTTCCTCTTTCAAATCTTCCTTTTCAAAAAAGTCCTTCTCCCACACTACTACTACTACTACTACTACTTCTTCTTCTTCTTCTTCCTTCTCCTCCTTCTCCTCCTTGTTCTTCTTCTTTCTTTTGTTAAGGGAAAAACATTCTCAGCCTTTTCAAACTTTACTTGAGTGCTCTGTCCCTGGGTACTGAAATCTCAAAACAAAGGGGCAATTAAAAAGTAAATGATACTAATAATGGGATAAGAAAATCTTGCAAATGACTTTTTTAGACTTTTAATTTCTTTCAAAAAATTGGAGAAATACCTAGTTGTTAGCAGACACCTGATCATAAATCAGTTTTTATGGTGAATCATTGTAATTTTTGTCATAATCCTACAAAGAAGTTCAAAGAATTGAGTGACATTGCTATATATGTATATATATATATATATATATATATATATATATATTCCCTTCCACTCTTATATAATTATTTCTGAGAACAATATTTTTCAGTGCTTAGAAGTGTAAAAATGATTATACAGGAATAGGAATGATGCGAACCCTGCCACATTCTAACAATAAGTGAGACTCATCTATGAAGATGTGAATTTACAGGCAAAACATTGGGGAATGAATTATAAATTACTTTTGAAAATAGTTATATTGCAAAATCTGTCACATGTTTATGTTTTAATCCAATATTTAATGAATAATAATTAAAATAACTCAATTCAAAAGAAAGAAAACACAAAACTGCATAGCAACAGAAATTTTAATTTTAAATTCTTTTTTTCAGTCATATAATTGTAAACTAAAAATAAAATCCTAAGCCCCCTGCTGACTGGATAGATCCCTCCTTTTGGCCAGAGGGACTCCAGCAAACCCTTAATACCTGGCTGTAATGGGAAGGGAGGTCAGACACACCTGCTTATACAACCTCCCTTTGGAGTTTAGCTTCAATGTTTGACCAGCATTAATGTTAAAACAAAGATGATGAGACTGACAAAATAGACTTCTTGTGACAAGAAGATATGAAATTATTAACAAGACCTAAGGCATACAAGGCAAAAGTTAAATCATGCCTGCAGATCATCAATTTGCTTAACACATCACTTTGAATATATTACAGCTTGTTCACTAATTAACAGACCACCTTATCTTAAGCATTCCTCTCTACTGACTCCCAGTCATTAGACAAAGCTTTATTTCTTTAACCAATTACAAATCAAAGAATCTTTGAAACAACCTATAACTTGTAAGCCTCCATTTCAAGATGTCCCCCTTTTGGGGGCCAAGCCAATGTATCCCTTTCATGTATTGATTTATGATTTATACCCTCAATTCCTGCTTCCTTAAAATTTATTAAACCTAATTGTAACCCAACTGCCTCAGGATGACTTACTTCAAGCTTCTTGAGTGTGGCTCTCTGGCCTATGGTCAAATATATTTAGCTCAGAATAAACCTCATTAAATTACTTTATAGAGGTTTTCTTAGTTGTTTGTTTTGTTTTTTTCCATTAACATGATCAATAAATGATCTTTAAGCATTAAGGCAATAAATTTTATTGGTAAACATTCTGTAGGGAAAGTGGAAATAAAATTCATATAAGGAAACAAGATTTCAGTGTAAAATTTCTGAGTGTAAAAGAGTGCTTGTTCCTGCTGCCTCTTTTTTTCAGGGGTCG